GGCTTCTAAATCACAAAAACAGTTCGCTGAATTGTAGTTAGGTACCTGATAGTATTTGAAAGGACGTGGGTGCTATGCAAACGGTTTGCGGTTTGTCAAGTTCGGGGGACGATATGGTACAAGTCGGAATGTATTTCCTGTTCGCAGCGTAATCCGTTGCCCCTCCCACAATAACCATCATGGCAGTTCCACTCGCAATGCTTCAGCGGTCATGTATAAAAATGTACATAAACATTCTTCATCCATTTTCACCTCAATTAAGTAGTGCTTGTTGTTATAATCCGCGACGAGGAGTCAGTAAGTAGATTTTCATACACCACTCGTAGCGAAATTTTTAAAGAATTAAACGTTTATCGGTATTCCCATGGCCGATCACAGTGGCCGCGCTAAAGCATGAACTCTCTTCGCCCACTAGAACACTGGGATCGTGGGTTCGAATCACACTCGAGGCATGGATGTCTGTACGTTTATTCTGTGTTTGTGCTGTTCTGTGTGCAGGTAGCGCCTTGCGACGGGCTGATTAAGAAACTGAAAAAGCGGCCAAGGTCCATAATGGCTGTAGAGCCATAAATAGATATTCTCCTGATTATTAAACCCGTGGCTACACATGTCTTCACGGGATAATGAGAGATCAGTAATTCTGCAAAACTGAAGGAGTTACCGGCACACAAACAAATGTTTCTACCACACATTTCTCTCTAGACGGGGCATCATCATGTGCTTCTTGAGGAAATACACAATGATGACGGAATACGAATACAGTACAGTGCCAGAATGAAACATTTTCTTTGCTAGTTGCAATTGGTCGGCTCCGATTAATACTAAATAAATTTGAGAGTTTAAATTAAAATAAAAGAATGCTACAAATATGCAGAGAAGATTCATATAATACCTGGTTACGAAGCTGGCCTGGTGTCGGCCTGTCTGGGCCGAAATGTGTTGTGAACTGATGTTAATAATAATAAACATTTGTCTGTGTGACGGCAACACCTTCGTTTTATATGCGAGCACAAACAGGATACAAGTCGTCAACAGAATAATTCCACATTTTCCGTGGATTTTTTCACTGTGCTATTCGTATCCAGATTATGTAACGTCGACTGACAGAGGATGAGTGATGAATTGGAAAGGATTTGGAAAGAAGCGATCATGGTGTCACGGAGGTACTCTCCCAAAGTTTGGCTGTAGGAACCACGAAATTCTCAGCCAGGGTTGCCAAGCCCCGGGCACCCCCTTCTCCCACCAGAATACAAATATGGTTACACTGATTTGCTCGGTGTGCAAGTTGTAACTACTATTGCCTCTTGGGACAGCGATATCGTACAATTTTTTATGGCGTTCTCAGCGTTACTTTTCCGCATTTCATGACCGCAAGTGCAAGATATTTCTCTCCTAGTGACATCTCTTGAGTAGATATGTGAACACAAAACGTCAACGGAAGAGATATCGATAATCACGTTCTCACGCACGCTACAGAATGTGGAAGCAAGAGCCATCTACCGTAAAGAATTTGAACATAGTTTCTCCCACTCGCCCGCAAACCTATGCGCAAACTATGTAATTTGCAAAATGCAAACACACATTGTCGAAGAATTATTTTTTGCTGTATGAAAATGCAATACTTCTCAACAGCCAAAAGATTTGGAACGTCTTGTTCCATTTTATTGATTTGGCTAACTGAAAGCTATGTACCCATTACTCATAATGATAGTCTATCACAGGGCTGGTAAAGAAGTTGCTGAAAGGTTTTATTTGGCCTGAAGCAGGCATAATCAGGTTTCTTTTTCTATATTCCAGTCACTAGACTTAAGGAAACGCTTGCCAGTAGATTAATTGGCTTGCTTGTTGAGCTATGAGTTGCATTGTAATACAGGGATACTATAAATGATTCATTCGTTTTTAAAACGCTATATTTTCCAAAGCAATACACGTACAAATATGATTGATATATAAAAAGAACCGTAAACTCACAAAGTTTTCTTCACACTCTACAAATATTCTATGTGTGCCCCTTGGGTCACACGCCACACGTCCAGGCGGTAGTCGAGCTCGTTCCACACATTTTGTAGCATAATCCTGTCAATGGTCATCACTGCATCATCGATGCATTCCCTCAGCTCTACTAGTGTTCTTGGCAGTAGGGGTACGTAAACACGGTCCTTAATGTACCCCCAAAGAAGAAGTCACAAGGCGTTAGATCAGGTGATCTGAGGGGCCAAGTGAACAGAGCTACGTCATCCTCACCAACACACCCAATCCAGCGATGCCGAAGTTCATTGTTTAGGTAGCGACGAACATTGCACAAACCACCGAAAAATGCTTTGTTTACATGGCGGTTCTTTTCCGTGCTCTCTTTTGAATGCGCGTTGCACTGCTATAACAGACGAACAAAAACTCTTTTCTTGCTTTGTCGCTATTTTATAAAGGCACTGAACTCGTGCTGCCAACTGGTGCATATAATACAAACTTGGTGAGTTTACGGTTCTTTTTATATATCAATCATATTTGTATGTATAGTACTTTGGAAAATATAGCGTTGTAAAAACGAATGAATCATTTATAGTAACCCTGTATATGAAAAAGGAATTAATTTTGAATTTTAACACAACTTACGAGTATCTTTGCCGCTGTTAGTTTTTTTTTTGTTACAAATTATTAGTACAGTCTCTTAAGCAAAAGAGAATTTTTTACTTGTATTCAGTTTACTAGTACCAACTATGTTGACTCAATTCCATATCATAGTTTTGTGTAGTGCAGAATGATTAGAATTCATTGTTTTGCTACATCCAGCACAAAGGAAAGAAACCAGCACACCAGATGCATACACCAGACTCAAACATGTGTGCACAACAAAAGATAATCTAAAAAATAACTTAAAAATAAAATATTTTATAAGCATTTCACATTACTTGTAAAATGCAAAATACAGCAGCATAACAACAGAGCAGCAGTTTTCATTTGCGATATTATACACATGATGATGACTAGTTAGGTTGAAACATGCTGTGTTAAATAAATAATAAGAAGAGACAAAGAGGCTTCAAAGTGTGAATTTTAATACATGGATGAAGTTGGACAGAGACTGAAGTGAGAGCAATAAAATTTCTAACTCAGCAATTTACCCTACCTTGAGCCATTTAAATCCAGTATATCTGTTTTATGCTAGGTCTCAAATATCAAATTTATTTTCTTCCACATTCTCTCAAACTGTTCCCTTTACCTTAATTCTACATCCCTCTCTAGTCTTCTCCAAGTAATCCATTTCCTTGCCTACTATAACCTCTTAATTGAGCTGTACTAACTAAAATGAGAGGTCTGTATCAAGTACAAAGTTACTCATTCTGCAGCAACCTTCATTTCTCTTTTTCAATTCAGTAATCATATATTTTCCAGAACTTTGTTCTGAAACTTTTAAAAAGTGATATTTCTGAAACATAAACAAATTTAATTATGTTTAACGTTTGTTAATATTTTTCAAACTCTCAAATTCTGTGTATGCTTCATTGGCTGTCTGTGGTGTACATAAGTCATATTTATTATATAATTGCTCTCTGGAATAAATACCTGGGGATGGAAAGAGATCAATTTACAAATTGCTGTATTCCGTCAAGAACACCAGATTGTGGATAAAATCTAGAAACTCAGTATCCCAGGTGTAAGGTATCATCAACAGAAGTATATAGAATCGACTCACGTTATAGAGGGCTTACTTGAAGCATAATGCTTCTTATATTTTGAGGCTTTATGCCATATTGTTAGTCTCATGATATGTAGTCAAATTGCCTCTAAATAAGTCTTGTAATAGAATTTCCTTTATTATTGGTGGTATAGTTGTAATATCATACTCAAGGTACCAAAAAGAATTTTGATGTATCATGTTCATAGAGCAGTTCGTTTTGACATCAACAATGGCAAGGTACATTATCAAAGTATATAAATGCATATAATATAATAATTTATTACATTTAATAATTTACACATTACAAAGACATAAATATTAAAGGTACAACATGTACAAGTACAATTTTGTCAAGACAGATAACCAGCCAAATACTGTCTAGTGTCAAGACATGTTAATAAGTTACTCAGCATATTTTTCATTTTTTAATAAGAAGTAAAGATTGTCTTCTTTCTTTTCTTCTTTACTGTATTGTGGGTGGTAAATTGTTTGCAATTTTACTGGGTGTGATGGTAAGTAAAGAATTTTGATGGTTGACTAGAACTACATATTATTCTGGAAAGAATGTGTAGTTTGTCAACCCCATAAACATACAAAAAAAATTCTAACCTTTCTTTAGTGATGGCTTATAAGGTAAAGGTAAAGCTTAACTAATTAAGCACAAAGCCATGAAGGCGTATGGGGGAGTGGATGTATAGATGACTTATATAGGTAAAATATTAGATTCCTGTGGTACACAGATGCACGTTTCATAAGAAGTAGAAGTAACTTTGAAAAGGTTTGCAAAATAATTTAGAACTTGGATATCATGATACACATACCTATGTTTGTAGATCAGCCATAAAAAATGCCTCTTGAAAGATAAGCCAAATTTTTTGGATTGAGTTTAAAATTAAAGGAAAGGTTGGAAATTAAAAAGGGAAAATGAAGTTAAGAGAATAATTGATCCATGTGCATTAAAATTAATTAAAATATGTATTTATAAGCTGTATAACATCTTCTCACTGAAATGATACTCACTGCATGACCTTGGTAAATTTTGTTGGATAGGAGACCTAGAACTAGAGCAATGGATATGGAATGGGCCAAAAGTCAGCCAGCTTAAAGCATTATCTCATATTAAGGGGAATGTTCAAATTTAAACCAGCCAGTCAATTTGTAGAACAGTATCACAGAATTGCCAGTTGTGCAATGAACATGGAAGATCTCATTTTAACAACTTTTGTAAATTCATTAAGTAGCCTAACAAAGAAACTTCTAATGCATTTTACTAGCCGGTTAAGCGACCCTTGGGCCATTTCTATTTTGTCTGTGGGAGAGAATCATATCTAGAATGTACTTGCATAGATCTTGTTTGGAGATGACTTATATTTTATATTTGTTATTACAAAAATTTCCTTCTGTTTACATTTAAATAACATCCCAGATATTATAGATAGGGAAGATGTTGAATATCTATACCCCAAAACCTCTGTCTTCAGTCCACCTTGAGGGCATCTGTTGGTCAATAATTTATTGAATAGTTAAATATTTAATTTAGTCCTATATAGAACAATGCTATATAAATCAGATTGTTTAAAACAATAGGGCTTTAAATAAAATCGAAACAGGGGTAATTTCTGTTCAGTAGAAACATAGATCCTAGATAACAAAGACAGAATAACAGCCCTGGGGCATTTTATAAATTACGAATATGAATTTACTTAAGTTTTGTCAGATCCAGTGGAGATGCAGCTGTTATCTTTTGTGAATTTGATTCTAACCTATGTGCTGTAAATAATTTTGATTCTTTTCTTTCACAACTTTGTTTATCACATACAACTGATACTACTGGATCCACTAGAAACCTTTGAATATTACTTTGTGATTTTGAGGATATTTCCTCTGTTATTCTTTGTTGAGTGAGAATGTCTTTAGAAACTGATCTCCTATAGTGCACACCATTTGGCAGTATTTTGGATTTATCATCAACATTGCATAGTTTTTTAAAATTCTCTACTGAATTTTTCCTTGGTTGTTTATCTGCAATAATGTTTGTACGTGGTTCATCACTGTCTGTTGATTGATGACTATCAGTAGAAAGGTTTCTGTGTGAATTATTAAGGTATACATCTTTAAAGTACTCAGAAATGTATCGTCTTGAGTTATTTTCTTCCAAAATGATTCTAGAATAATTATCAATACAGATCTTTTTGCAATGTTCATTATTTGTCAATATGTTCATATTCTCATCAGATGAACTGTCCTCAAAACATAATCGCCTTGTAGGGTCACTCAGAACATTGTCAGTTCTTGGAGGCACTACAAATTTTACAGGCAATGTAAGGGGTGGAGGTCTTGGTGGAGCTGAATGGTATCCATATGGATTCTGGTTTGGATGAAGCAATGTAGAACATATACCAGGGATGCAATAAGGATCCAATGAGGACCTCCCTGATAGAAACAATGATGTTGATGATGGTGAAAAAGAAGGTGGCATGGTGAAATCTGGAGGCATTGCAAGCAGATCAGCTGGATAGAATGTGGAAGATCGAACTAGTGGTGGTGCTGGAAATTCTGATCTTTGATGCTGAGTGTTGTCCAGTGAATCCCTGAAAACGAGAAGTGAATTTTATGTATAATTCAAAAATATTTTGTAAATTTATATTCATAGTCTGCTTAACAAGCACGAAGTAAAGACATAATAAAATCTTGAAAAACAAGGGGAAATAAGAATTTCAAATATTCTGAGCACATGAACTTAATGTTTTTTTATCTTAAAAATGTAATTAAACCCAAAATGGAAAGTTATGTTATATTTAACAACAACCTAAAATATATGCCAATGTAGTCTGCTTTATTTTACTTTTTACATTAAGTTTTTGATCTCAGTAAATGGGTCCTTTTATAAACAATAAAAGATTTTATTCATCATATCATAGCTCTGTATGGGGCTGAAACATGGACACTTAGGGCAGTAGATCAGAAACATCTGGAAAGTTTCGAAATGTGGTGTTGGAGAAGAATGGAGAAGATCAGTTGGACCGATTATGTGAGAAATGAAGAAGTGTTAATTAGAGTCAGTGAGCAGAGGAATATCCTACATGAAATAAGAAAACGGAAGGCTAATTGGATTGGTCATGTTTTACGCAGAAACTGCCTTCTAAAAGAAGCTATCGAAGGAAAGATAGATGGGCGGATAGAAGTGACAAGAAGACGAGGAAGAAGACGTAAGAAGATGCTGGATGACCTTGGGGACAGAAGAGGATACTGTCATTTGAAGGAGAAAGCTCTAGATCGCATTAAGTGGAGGAATTGTTTTGAAAGAGACTGTGGACCTGTCGTCTTGACAGATTACTGATGATGATGATGATCAGGATTGTTTATAAGATGGTAGATTCAGACAATATTGTACTTAAGTGCTGTATTGTCACAGTTTTAATCTCTCTCATCAGATGATGATTATGTTTCAGATATTGAGATTAGCAGATCACTAATACTTGCAGACCATAAGCTTTTCTTTGATTTTACCGCATATTGATTGAAATGCGTGAAATGACTTCAGACAACATTCACTCTCCTAAACTGACAATTATATAAATTATACAGGAACCTTTTCCAATGAGTATTCATTCTGCAGAAATGAAAGCGACCATATGGATGTCAGCTATGTATACATGAATTTAGCACACTGAAGATACCAACACTTCCTTCCAGACACGCACGCGCACACGCACACCCCTGCACTTGTCTGGGACACAAACCTAATTCCTTGACCTTCCAGCCTCTAGCCTAGTTTTGTATTGACATTACTATCCTGGTTCAAGGAATGAAGTAGAGATCATTAGGACTCATATTCCAGTTACAGCCATCATCACAAAACACAGCTGATGATCACAGTTTGAATATGACATAATTTTATGAATCAGTCATACAAGATACATTCTGGAATTCCTTGTTGGTGGGGTAAGAAATATGAATGTACCTACATACCTGGTTCTTGATGCTTCTCTGAAGCCTTTAGCAAATGGATTACTGGCAATTTTCAGGCGAGTTATCTGGAATAAATAAAATGTAACTGTATCAAGACACTGTCTGATCTCAGTTTCAGGTCCTCATATGTATCTCCATACTCTTTACTGTTTCTTGTTGACAGAATTTTATTCCAGTCGCATATATAGATGATTAAATTGTGCAGTGCTTGAGATAATCGCTTTTTCAAATGGACTCAACTGAGTATGTGCCTCTCCCCTCCCCAAATCACCTGAAGGTGGAGATACAGCCAGCTTCAAAAATATTTTGTGCTTCTGGAGCATAGTCGATGATGGACAAAGTCCAGTTACTTAACAATGCAAAATGTAATATATTGTGACATATTTGCGCTTATTATTATTCTCAGAACACATTAGAATTGACCTTACTAATTTTATTAGAACAACATTCTGTTATTTGTCTTATAAAATGTGTCCAACACATCTGTGAAAATATTTCATATCTTGAGTACAAAAGTTCATGAAAGGAAAGTCTATGTGTGTTCAACAGGATCTCTGGCATGGTAACTTATGTTCCCATTGTATGTTGAAAACGAAACCTACCAAGTTCCTAACGATTACATTATGAACTATGTCATAATCTGACAATGACCAACCATCAAACATGTCTTGAACCAAAATAAGAAACATCACAAATTCCCTCTGTAGAACATATTTAAATTAAACTTGGTGTAATGTCTTCGGAGTCGTACTTGCTGATTCTGATAAGCTGTTACTGTGATGAACGTTGTTTCTGGAAATGTGTACGTGAGGGCACGTTCCACACACGCTTGGCACTCTGCCGGTGTCTCCAGGTCTGTGGTCGGCAGAATATGCACCCGGGGCAGATATTTATGCATCGAATGCAGAGAAATCTGGAACAGTTTGATTTTCCAGTTAGAAATTATATTCAAAATTACAGTTCATATTCTATTTAAAGACGATTCTTCATCTGAATAGGTTATGCAACATCGAATGGGAGGATGCTTGTAGATGGTATTTCTCACTTCAGAACTTCATCTGTGATGATTTTACTGAGATTAGTTGTTGATTTTAGTGATGCTCAAAATTGTCACATTCATATTTTCTTTACTTCGATTTTGATTTGTAATGTTTTTGTGATGTTATGAAACTTTGTTTCTCTGCATGTACATTTCTTATGATTTTCATGTTTAGTGCTATAGGCTTATATTGCTTTCAATTTACTTTCTATTTAATTTGTGTATCTCTCTCAAACATGTTACATGCTTATTTATTCCTGTTAGCAGCCTCACATACAACTTGCTTTTTAAAACCTTTACAAGTTTGAACATTAAAATCTCTTCTATGTCAGTTGTGTTTCGACAAACACTGGTCATCTTCAGATGCTTCTAAAATTGTTGATAAAACACCTGTTCTTCCATCCATAAGTTCAGTTTTTGAGATATGCCCTGGTCTATGTGCCCTAAGTCCTCTAATTATGGGCACTTTACTTATCACTTCCAATTCATCACATTTCACTTGTTTATTTGACCTATAATAAATTTGCAGGGATATAAAATATTTCATGCTCCTGCAAATTTATTACAGGTCAAATAAACAAGTGAAATGTGATGAATTGGAAGGGATAACTAAAGTAGCCGTGTGGTTTATGTGAAGGTGAAACGCAATTTCTTACATGGAGGAAATGAAAAATATTGCCAAAAATTATAGTACATTGCTACTGTAATTAGAATTCTATGTAAAGTGTCAACAGTAACGAGCCAATTTTTATGAAATTTGACAAGATTCGACAAAACTCTGCAAGAACTTTGAACATAGAACTTGATTAAAATCAATCAAATCCTTCTCGAGTTGTTAGATCTTGGGAGGGGGGATTTACAATTATCTTGAAAGCTCTGTGACTTTTGCAACAATATATGAAGAACAAAATCTGTGTTCCATTTGTATCTATAATCATTAGTTCGAAATGTTTTCCCCAATGAGAAATATTTTAGCGAGTTATGTCCGATATTCACACAAAAATGCTTGTAGGTAATGACGAAATTTTCCGTTATTTTTGTCGGATTTTAATCAAAATTGAAACAGGTCTACAGATGTTAGTGAAACACTTCACCGGTTATATTCACCACCGATGAAAGTCAATCGGAAGATTGGTCATGGAAAGTAGCGTAGTTGGTTGAGGGGCTATGCTACAAGCCGAAAGGTCGCGGGTTCAAGTCCCGATGAGGTCACTGAATTTTTTTTTTTCAATTGACCAAATCCTTCCGGCCGCGCTATGGCCCTGGGGTTGACTCAGCCTCTAACAGAAATGAGTACAACGAATTAATTAAATAATTTTCCTGGGGAGTGAAGCGCGGCCAGCGCGTAAGGCTGACAACCTTACCGCCATCTTTGAGCCGATTGTCTAGATAATGTGGGACCCTCAACGTCTCCCAGCCCTATGGGCCTTCACGGCCTGTTACAGGGATACCTTTACTTTTACTTACATTTTACTTAAATAAATAAGCTGGTTCTTAAGAATTCTGCATAAGACAGAATAGCCCAGGCACTTAACCTAAAGCTGCATACGGAACTGACTACAGGCATTTGGTAAAATCTTTTCCTGTCGCCACCGTGTCCAGAGAGACTCTGGGGCCCACTCACCTGACCTCTGACTAGAGGCTTTCTGTTGTTTGTTAATTTCAGCTTATCGAACGCGACAACCCCCTGAGCCATCCAGAGCTGACCAGTGGCTGCTGAGTCCGGGTGGACGTACAGATTGTGATGAAGGGGAGAATCCCCAGAACCCGCCACCATCCACTGAGAACTGCAACAAAAAATCCACATTTTCATTTATTCGTTTTATTCTACTTTGACGGACTTAATCTAGAACAACGATTCTTACAGACAGTCGGTAGGACTCCTTGTCCGGGAGATCACGCCGTCTCAGGTCCACTGCTCTCCATCTGCTATGGGAACAAAGGTACGTCATCGCAAGTTGATGACGTAAATCGTTACGTCATCATTAGAATGTTATTACAGTCTGTTTTTAATACAATTCTGGTGTTCTTACAGCGAAGGGGAATTCAAACATAAATACACAGAAATTTTCTTCCGTAATGTTGCCTAAACAGGTTATGACGTACCCTGGTTCATATTACAGACGGATTTTACCTGTACAGGACAACTCAAAGACGAAACAACTGCAGACTGACAACGATGCACCTGTCGGGTTTAGAACACACATCCGAATGTTCAAACGGTCGAAGACGTTATCCATCCGGTTTCAACGAAAGTCTCTTGTGCCTGAATATAACAATTCAGGATAAATGACGTCGAATAATTTGTTGATTAGCGAATACTGGCTCGGAACGGATGTGGCCTATTTGAGGTACTATTCCGGAATGTACCCGGAGGGGCTGATGAAAACTACGACAAACTTAAGACAGGGTAGTCAGTGTCCTGATCGGGAAACGAACCGGCCACCTCTCGAATACAAGCCTCAAACTTATTGTTTTTGCCGCGCCATAGCTCAAGCGGTTAGTCGCTGGATTCCCATCGAGGTGGCCCGGATTCGAGCCCGGGTGTGGCCAATTGGGATTTGTTGTGGACAAAATGTTGCTGGGGCAGATTTTCTCCGATTACTTCGATTTCCCCTACCAATCTTCATTCCACCAAATTCTCCATCATCATAATCACCCGGGGGTAGGTACAATAGGCCAATCAGTGGCCGCCATGCAGAGTGGACCCAGCTAGATTCCACCCCCCCCCCACTCTGAGAATTTAAAAAAAAATTACTGTTTCAGCTACGTTGCTCGGTGAACTACAGAACAGGAACAAATTATATCGTCAATGAAATTAATATTTAGTGACTTTATCTTGAATACAAATTCAGGCATATTTCTTCATTCTGAGCTAAACCTGTTCCATTTCGTGTTAAGTGGAAGTGTGTGCCTGTGATGCAATCTGACCACAGAGCAACCTGCTGACGTCACCGGCTCTAATAACAGAGTCGCTACCTTAATCATTTCCCATCTCTATAGTTAACATCAGAACATACACATAAGGTATTAAGCTGCTAGGAAGTTTATAGCCCAGAACTTATGTTGATAACTCAATAAAGAGGTGTACGGACTCGAGAGTAACAGTTGGCATATGGCTGGTCAGGCAGCATGACACTAACACTTACATAGCTCGGAAGGAAACAAAAACAGGTAACTGCATTTAACACTTCTCTCGTCCGAGGATCATGCTTCCATTCTTCCTTGATTAAAAGATTTCTTTTCCACGTATGCATTATGTTTCACTCCACATTTTTTTAGATTTTGTTTCTAAGTTTATCTTTCCCGGTAGCTACTTTAACTGCTCTAAGAAATGGCAGTTCTGCTGCTTTAACCCTGTGAAGACAGAATTTCTTCAAAATTATATATAACAAGAAGTTATAGGAAGAACTAATCGCTTATTTTCCTTTGATACGATACAGATCAAGGAGTCGGAATAGCGACTGGCTACTGGCTGGACGACCGAGGGGTCGGAGTTCGGTTCCCGGTGGGGTTAAGAATTTTCTCCTCTCCACAGCATCCAGACTGGCTGTGGGGCCAACCCAGAATCCTATCCAACGGGTACGGGGTGCTCTTTCTCTGGAGGTAAAGCGGTAGGGGTTTGAATCTGAGAATGATGGAGCTATACTTCCACTCTTCCATACATCTTCATGGCGCAGTGCTCAATTAATTAATTAATTAATTAAGTACAGGGATAACTTTACCTTCCCTTTGTTTCTTGAGTTTCTTCACGTCATGATGCAAGAAAGTCTGACTGCACGTCCTCATCTCTTCTTTGGCAACGTTTCTCTTCTGGTGACTTTTCAGTTTATAATTCAGAAGAGGGATGGCCAAACTTACTGAACATCGGAGAGGCATGCGATAAATTTTAGACGTCAGAGAGTCGCAAACAGACGTGGATTGGATGAAGCAGGTGTTTAGGTACAGGCTTCTCAAGCAGCAGATTTTATTTTGAGCAGTCAGTTTGTAACAAACAGGCTTTTTTTTTTACCGCAGGCGCTGACTAACAGATCAAAAAAATCGCAGATGGCTCATGAGCCAGAGTTTGGCTACTTCTTTTAGAGAATCTGTTTCAACATTTTTTCATCATTCATTGTATTTCTTTATATTCTGTCTTTTTCTGTGTTCTTCCACGTTACTACGTAAGAAACCCCTATCAGTAACAATAAATTTATATTATAAACATTTTATATTTTACTTATTTCTTGTAACAACTAGAAATATTAACTTTTCATGCTTATAAAGAAACAAATGTCTTAATAAATTCTTTGTATCCCATTTGTATTTTGTGGAGGACCCTGGGCCACAGTCCTGGTAACTTCCCCTTAAATCAGGCGCTGGCTGGAGTGGAATAGTACCAGCTCGAGTCAAGATGTACAGTGTATCGAGTCACGGTTCCTCTTTCCGTGTTCTCAGAATAAAGTAATTCAAGCAATCTGACACAGTGGGGCAGCACTTACCTGTGGTACACGTATCTATATCGTTTGTCGTCCACAGGCACGATGTCCAGGAACACGATATAGGAGGCTGTAGGTTCAAGCCCGCTGAGCCGTACCTTCACTGTGGGGAACATTCGCCTACTGAGGACACAAGAAAACAACACGGACAATGCACAGCTCACAACAAACAACATCCTGTTTACAACGGAATCTTGTGATAACAAAATATGTTCCTTCAACGTCTTAAATATTTCGCAGTTCGTAGGACATGTAGGCTTTGATTTACGATCAAGATCACATGTCAGAAATTTATGAAATATTTACATATAATTTATATCAGGGCTGCGTAACTTCAAGCTTCTAAAGGACAGTATTGTGACGTGGATGGCGCAACGGGAAGTGGGGGTCACGTGAACTCTGCGTTTCCTCGAGTGACGTCACATACCCCCACTCCTTCCACCAGTACGCGACGCTCCGTAAACACTCTTCCCCCCGCACGATGACGTGGCAGAGGAGCGGCTGTGCCAGGCAACCATTGCCGCGGTGACGTAACAAGGAATACCGTGGTTACTACTCAGCCGTAAACAACTCCCGACAGCGTTGCTAGCAACACCGTCAAACACGGCGTCACGCAACAGCGGTACCTGTCACGTAACTGTTTTCTGTGTTGTCCGTTCCGAGGCTAATTAAGGAGCAGCGAACACTATTCAGTAGCAGTGAGTGATTAGTTAGAGAGAGAGAGTATTGAGCCAGTAACAGTCTAGAACTCTTCGGAGTGAATGGAAACAAGAGAAGTATTTGCGATACTGCCGATGGCAGTAATTGTGAGATTGTAAATTGTGTGATTGTAAGAGCGGGTGTTCAGTAGATTCGCTATATCAAATAAGGCGTAAAGTTATTTGTCGCGTGACATGTACCCAACACGTGACAGTATTATACATTAGGTACTTCCCTCAGCGCAGAATTATAAATATGTACATATGTTTTCATATATGATATATAAGTATTTGCCCTCTAATGATCAGATCTATAAAACAGAAACACACGAATGAGATCAGGACACACAGGTTCGAAAACATTTATTTAAATATAATACACTGTAACATTATATATCAAAATTAAAAAAATCAATGCATTTGCTTGTGATAGAACAGATGAAACATCCACTCTGATACAAGATACAATACACTCATACTACATGTACATTACCGAATGTTATTTTCTTTGCCTGTAACTCTTTCACAGGCATGACACAATTTCTGGCATATCCAGTCAAGTAATATTCTGACTTAAGACATTTCTGGTACATCCATGCTAAGAGTATTTGCAGAAGAATCTGTTACTTGTCGAAGGTATATATCTATACAAATCAGGGAGGATGATATTGGTTTGGTATGTAGCTTGCATGCTTTTTCTTGTTTTATTTTATATTTATNCTAGCTTTGTAATTGTCTGTTTGCTTGTTATGTTTAACACATAAATAAATATATGTTAAATAAGTAAAAATTTATTTACTATTTATATTATCATTATTTTTTTTATTTATCATGTCATTTCATTTTATGTTTCAATTTTTGATTTTAGAAACTTCTGTCTAAGAGTGTACTCTTATGATTTTTTTTTGTGAAACTTGAAAACAGACAATTTCTGATTATTTTGCTATGGTAAGTTAAATTTTATGATCCCAATGTAATCATCTTTCCTGTTGTGTTTAATAAATTTTACATCTTCATTATTTATATGTGCAGTACAACTTTCCATATAGGCCTATACTTGTAAAGTGCCTGCTCTTCATCCTAACGTGACACGCGTAATAATCCTGTTCCATGTGTGAAGACCTCCCTCCGAGTATTCTTATGTGGTCGGTAAGGTTTCGTGCTGCATTATTGTCTCACTCAAATAGTCACACACACTCTCTCTCTCTCTTTCTCTCTCCTGGAGGAAACAGAAAAACAAGAATAAGCAAGCATAAACAGCGAGGCGGAGTAATTTATTGTTTAGTAAATCAAATTTGTGTTATAAATGCCTGCTAATTACAGGGTACTGGCATGCATTAAGACACATATCTTCACACTACGCAAGGAGCACGACAGAGATGAGACGATCTGAAATAAAGGACTATAAAAAGCGTTTGTCTGGAAGCAGCTGTTAGTATAAACAAAGGAGACCCGCTCGATGTTCCCATGGTTATGCTGTCTTCTGGGGTAAGTTGGCGTGCACTTCGCGACAAGTTCACCGACGCTTCTTCAGGGTGGAAGAGTGAGGCCAGCAATCAAACAGGGAAGTAACAAGTAGCATTTCTGCGTGGGTTGATCCTCATTCCTAAACATGAAGGTCGTAAGTTTCTCTGAAATATCGATAAATTTCTATCGGACTAGACGGTGTCACGTCCTGGTAGGATGTTCGTCTGAATAAGGTAGACAGACTTTCACCACGGCCAATAAAGTTGAAGCAGGATAATCCGGAATTGTCACACAATAAATAGCCTCCGATCGAATGGACACTGGGGGCGCTTTCTTAGTGAGGCAAATCTTGAATCTGACTAACTAATTAATTCATGTAGCTGAGCCCTTCTTGAGAATACACCATTTGTGCAGCTACTCAAGAATTTCCCAAAATTTTATAGAACCCGAAGGTTCATTCTCATGTTCACAAGAGCACTTCAGTGGTTCCTATCCTGAGGCAGATAAATCCAGTCCATACCGCCCTATTCTATTTCCCTCTGATCCATTTTTATAATATGTCATCACATATTTCTTGGTTTTCCTATTGGGCTCTTTCCTTCTGGTTTCCCCACCAAAATCCTATATGCATTTCTCTTCTCCTCATTCGTGCTACATACCCTGTCCCACCTCATCCTCCTTCACTTGATTATTCTAATTATACTTGAAGAAGAGTACAAGTTATGAAGCTCCTCGTTATGCAGTTTTCTCCAACCTCCTGTCACTTCATCTCTCTTCGGTCCAAATATTCTCCTCAACCCCCTCAGTCTATGTTCCTCCCTTACTGTCAGAGACAAAGTTTCACGCCCATACAGAACAACAGGCAAAGATATCGTGAATATGACTGCTTTATAAAGTGCAATGTTACGAATGCATAAAGTTATACATCCTATACCCAATAATTCTTCAAGGCCTGGCGCTTAATTAAGTATACGTAATATAGGAAGTCCCTCTCCACCATGCGCGACGCCCTGCAGATAAACAGTTTGAATTTCTTTAAATCTCTTCATAAAAATTAATTTATTTAAGAAAATATTTAAAGACTATTGGCTTTAGGAGACCGCATATACCTGTCGTGATATACAAAAAGTAAAGTTGTCGTTTGGCCTAAGAGTTCGGTTTAAAATGCTGGACATGCACTGGTGTTTGTATTTTTATAATGGAGCCCTTTTATGTGGAATGTTTGGAGCGTCAAGTGGCTGCACTCTGCTAATGAAGACAGAACCTTTCGTTACGAACTTCCATCCGGAGCGAATTGTCTAGTCGTAACAAAAGGGGGAGGTGTGAGCTCCTGCAGTAAATCAACAAAATATTTCTCGTTCCTTCACGTTTCCAAGCATGCGCTTTGCAACGCTTTAAGTCTGACTTTTATCTCGCGTAGTCCTGTGAGTCATGGCACGAATTACGAGTAATTTGCCTCATATACAAATTGACTTTTACACTGAGGTGATTGCTCATATTCTGATCGTCTGGATAGTGACACCGTATAGTCTTGTGAAAAGATAAAGTTGCCCCTATGCTGACCTTCTCTGTGGTCTAGTGGTCAGAGTTTCTGGCTACAGATCCAAAGGTCCCGTGTTCGATTGTCTGCGCTACCAGATTTCCTGAGAAGTAGTGTGTCTGGAACGGGATCCGCTCAGCCTCGTGAAGATAATCGAGGAGCTACTTCAAGGAAATAGCGTCTCCGATCTAGAAAACCGAAATTAACGGCCGTGGGATTCGTTGTGCTGAACACGCGACACCCTCTATCTGCTCAAGTTACGACTAACTTAGCTGACAAGCGGCGGTCGCTCGGTCGGTATAGTTTGCTTGCGGACTACAGGCCACGGAGTTTGTTTTTTGTTTTTTGTCTGTTTGAAGTACCAAGTTTCTTCCTATACAGAACCGAAGGAACACGAACCCGACTCAGCAGAAATTCTGGATCGTTACGGCTTAGGCCAACTCGTTCGGGTTCTTGGCAGGGTTAGGGGATGCGAGGGGTAGTAATGTGATTCGACTACTCTCGAAACCAAATAAGTCTTTCATCATAAATAAATCGACTAAGCTAGTTTATCAATTCGAAATCTGTATCGACTCCTAAGAATAAAACCGCTCTGCTACACAAATTACAACGTGCCCATAACACCTGTATTATAAACACGCCCCTCCTTCATTCTAAAGAAAAACTTTAGATTGTTGCGTGAGATGAACACGGGTTATTCTTGGCTCCCAATAAATTATTGACTGATAAAGATTTTAGTTTTGTTATTTTTTCTTTCTTAACAGGACGAATTATAAAACTAAACACCTCATTGTCGGTTTTATACAAAAGGTTATTAACGTGCTGAACTATTGAAGTGTTGGTTATCTCAATGCTTAATCAATGAGAGGTCCTACTATATTCATGTTGGTACTAAGGCTATGTAATAGTCTATCATTGCAATAGTCATACTAAGTTCTTGAAAAACTATTCAAGAGTACTGCATACTGGGGTGGTCGCCGAGTAGTCTCGCAGAAGTTTATCTATGTTTCGGAGAATGGTAATGCCTCCATCTTCAGAGGCGAAGAGAAAGACAAGCAAACTATCGGAAATAAGCGAATATCAAGCGTAACTCTTTACTTGTTTGTCTTATTCCTAAATTCATTAAGCGGGATGCAGTACATTCCTCGGAAATATCAGTAAATTTCTACCAGACTATACGACCAAACGTCTAAGATAATAGAACTATTCATAGTCACCGCCGTGAAAACCTCAATCCAACAAATATAAGTATTAATACAATTTTTAATATTGTGACAGGTAGACACACTGCCAAGTAACCGCTGTGTAAACAGGCGACAGTACAACAGCCGTTGTTAGGGAACAGCTTTTTGGACACGTTGTTTCTCCGGAAACGAGAGGACACAGAATAATAGAAGAGACATTTTCTGTGAGGTCCA